TTGTTTTTTGGGGGCTCTGAGCTGCAAAACATACCTTAAACTACCAAAACCCACTTTTTTTGCAGGGTCCCCTAAATTCCATACTAGGGTTTATTATATATTATAAAAACCTACAAAAAAGTGGGGTTTACCAACAATCGTGGAGCGAGGAAAGCTTGTCGGGCTTGTCGGGTGCAGGGGGTCTCAGTGGGTTTGGCATCCGAGACTAAACCCCTAAACCCTAAACCCTAAACCCCTAAACCCTAAACCCTAAACCCCTAAACCCTAAACCCCTAAACTCGTAAACCCTAAACTCTAACATAGGGTCTTGAGGTTCAAAGGCTTATCGGGCGAGTGAGGCTTAGGGGCTTAAGCCCTAAACCCAGGGGTGTGCCTGGTTCTTGGTGCAGAGCTAAGACCGATAGCACCAGCAAGAACAACAGCTTGAACTGTGCCCCCTAGTTGCGAAATAAACCCTAAACCCTAAACCCTTACAGAACTCTGCCTGAAGGCCCCTCTGCCTTTCCCCCGAAGGGACCCTTTAAGACTTTGGTAGGACTTTTCAATCGATATGCAAGGGGTTGGCTAAAAAAAGTGGGGAGGGTTTGTGCTAGAAAGCACGCCACTGGCAACGGATGCGGCTACTTCTCATTCACCCCTGGGTGCACACGTCTTCTCCACTGTGCACGGAGCTCTCCTCCTTGCCATTCCTTTAAAGACCCCTAGGCCCTATGAGTGTCTAGGGTGCAGGGCTAGGGTGTGGGCCCCAGGAGAATCTAGGAACCCTAAACCCAAAACCCTAAACCCTAAACCCCAAACCCTAAACCCTAAACCCTAAACCCAAGCCCTGCAAGCCACGAAACTCCATACCACTAAACCACCGGGAGTCCGGAGCCGCCTGAGGTGTTTCGGTCCGCCGGACTGTGGCGAGAGCTTGTCCAACTGCTCAGGCCATGCAGCTCAGGGTTTAGGGCCTGCCTCAACCCCAAATTAACCCCAAAGAACCCTGCCTTTTCTTAAGGACCCATATACAAAAACTATAGTAAGGAACCCCAAGCAGGTAGCTTCTTGCAGCTCAGGGATCTCAGGGGGTTCAGGGCCTACGGCCTACCTTAACCCCAAAGAAACCCTGCCTTTTTGAGCACTTCTATATAGACACCCTTAACCCCAAAGAACCCTGCCTTTTTAGGGACTTATATACAAAAACTATAATGAGGAAGGGGTCCAGGTAGGGTTTAGGTAGGGTTTCGGGATTGAGGGTTTGGGGGATTTGGGGGTTTAGGCTTTTTGCAGCTTTAGGGCTTTGACGGTGGAGGGGTTCTTTTTCTTTTTTTTTTTTTAGGGTTTAGGGTTCAGGGTTTTAGAGGCTACGATTTATGTAGGTTTTGGGACGATTAGGGGGTGTGGGGCCGTAAGTTTGGAAGCTTTTAAGCCCGTTGGGTCTGCAGAGAGGTTCGGAAAGCGAAGGGCAAAAACGATCCGGTGGTGAAAGCTGGATTTCGGATTTCTCGGACCTTCCGGTGTAGAATTCTGCCTTTGGAGAGGTTTAGGGTTCAAAGTTTCACGGTTTGGAGTTTAGGGTTTGGGGGGTACGCTAAACCCAAGAGTCTAAGAGGTTTTTAGAGTTTCGGCTTCATAAGCTGACCTCCAGGCTCCAGAAGTCCAAAGCTACGAGGCCAGAAGCTGGGCCCCATATGGGTAGTTCTCTGAATTAG